CAGAGATGAGACACAAAGAGCTTTACAGACACCATCAGCAGCTCACCAGTACAGGACTCTGAGACACTGGAGCTGAAGGACTGAGGACAGACTGTCTTATATAATTTGGACAATGAGGAAACACCACATGAGATAAAATAAAATGAAATAAGCTGGATAAACAAACAAAGCTGTGCTAAACGTTAAAACAGAATAATCAATGATAAACGGTTCAGTAAAAAGACAAAAACATGTAAACAGGTGATAAAACAACTAGTAATAAAGAATCAAATCAGCTACAAAGGTAGGCCTGGGCTTTGTTTGTATGGTCCCCTAACCCTGTACCTTTCCTACAGGTGTGTGTGTAGCGTACACGCTCCAGCAGTTCACTGTGGCAGCCACTAGAGGGCGACAGCAGTGCCGTGTTGCACAGGCAGACCCAGTCCCTGTAGTGCAGAACAGATAATCACTGTGAGCAGATGTGATGATGTTCATGGACCTTAATGACCAGATCGTTCCTGAGCTCAGGAGCTGGAGGACGAGTCAGGAGTAAAATGAAAATAAAGCTTTACAGGTTTTATTTTTCTTTCATTTGGTACACATTTCAAATCATCTTTATTTTCATCTGGACTCTTTATTTTTAGTGATCCAGTGGGGGGGTGAGCTGCTGGTGGGGTAGCTGGAGCATACAAACAGCTGGATCCAGTCCATGTTCCAGCCCCAGCCCTGCTCTCATCCGCCCATGTCCTGTCTCGCTCTACTGCAGCTATCAGAACAAGGAGAGCTCTCATATTCCAGTGTTCCTACATCATGCAGGCCTGAATGATGTGCAGAGAAAACCATATGGTTTCAGTAGAAATGGTACAGTCCATCAATCTGCTGCAGCCCCCAGCAGGCATTCAGGTTCTGATTTATAGGTCAGAGCATCTTGTTGCTCCACAAGGCTTCAGGTAAAACAGGATGTTGTGACCTGTTGCACCTGCATGAAGAATTCCAGCCTGCACCAGTCGGAGGCTTTTCGTCCGTTTCATTCATTCGTTGCCATTCAGACGTTTAAAACCTGTTTTTTTATCACGATGTAATAGTTCAATGTTTTTCTTATCGTAGGAAAGATGATGTTCCAGATGCATCATCACTTAATGTTTGGTTCATGTAGATGCACATCTGGACAGTCTAACCCTGCTGTACAGCCTCGCCTTAGCTCACGTCTCAACCGCTTTCCACTAACGCTAATGTCGCGTCTCTCAGGACCCCTTCGGCGAGAAGCGCGGCCGCTTCGACTACCAGGGCCTGCTGGCTCGCCTCAGCGCCACCCACAGGCGGATACGGGAGAAGAGCCTGGCGGAGGACGACCACAACGACGACGACTCGGACTCGGACACCAGCTCCTCGGGGACGGACCCCGACAGCCAGGGCAGCTCCCAGCCCTGACTCCCCGGACGGCGCTGGACTCGCAGCCAGGCCGAGGACTAAAGACAAAGGGAGGTTTTTTTGTTTTGTTTTGTTTGCAGTGGAGGAACGACATCACAGAAGAGGATGTGATGCCTCCGTTTAAAGGCTTTACGAGTCAAAGTAAGTCCGGGTGTAGGGTTGGAGTGAAGTTTCTCTTGTGTTGCAGCGGGAGACAGAAGCGGTGGAAGTGCTCTCCTGAAAATCATTAAAAAAAGAAAACCTCATCCGCTAGTCAGATGCTGGCATGTTTGACACGTAGCGGAGCATTTGTGCTACTTGTGTAGCTCACCAGATACCATTTTGATGACCAGCTTGACTCTAAAACTCCAGACGGCTTCCCAGAATCTGGATAGATGTGGAGGTGAACCAGCCTCGGTTGCTTGTGGATGTAAAGGTTTAGTTTCACGGCTTGAGTCGGAGAATAAGAAGATGATTACAGCGTTCTAGGACACTTTGATCCGAGGCCTGGAGCTTGATGCAGCGTTGGGCTCAATGAAGGGACCTGAGCAGAGCCAGGGAGACGGGCCTGAGCCGGCTGCACAGCTGGAGCATGGTGGTGGCTCTCCTTCAGAGCTCTTTGAGTTCTGGGGGAGAGGAAGGACCTTTTTACAAGAGCGTTAGGTGGATGGAGGAAGTGAGTGGCGAGGCTTTGTGAGTCCCGTGCCTTGTCTCCTGTGGCCAGGGTGAAGCCGCCTCTCTGAGCCTGGACCTCCACAGCAGGCCTCATAAAGCATCAGCAGCTGTGGACGCCTGAGTACAATGATTCCTGTGTATTATAAGAAAAAACAACAACCTTCTGCTTAGCTTTCAGTTTCTAATTGTGCTGTTGAATCGACAGTGGATCTGTTTACCGGATCAGGAGCAGTAGAGACATGTCAGTTTCATTGACATCCACCTTTGTACCCTTTGTTATGCTGGTTTCTCATCCTCGTACTGAAACTAACAGTCGTTTGCGGTGTGTAGGGTGTTTATTTGTAAACCCTGCTGTTTTCTGGGCTCTTTGTGATTCAGATACAAACCAAACCATCCCGTGCTTTAGCTAGACCCGCTTCAGTTCAGGGAAACCAGTGGAGGGAAAGCAAAGAGGAATCCCAACGTGTGCAGACTGCAGGTACCAGTCGTGCTGCTCACGCCTTTCAGTGCATCGGCAACGCTTCCTGCTTCATCTGATTTCTACTTGAAGATGTCATCGCTGACTTGGAAGGTTTAGCTGGAAAAAAAGAGAACCCCTGTAGTCACTGATGTTACCTTCAGCTGCATACGTCCACCAGTAGGTGTCAGGCTGGGCCCAGACGGAGGGCAGCGCTGCACCAGCCTGTCGGCCCTCATCAGCGGTGCTCAGAAGGAGCAGACCTGTTGGTTGTGGTATAGACACAGCGAGGGTTTCCTCCTGGAGGACACTGCAGGTCTAATACTCACTGAAGGAGCTGCTGCAGTTGTTCCTCTGAGTCGTCCTCTGGGGATGATGAGGGAGGAAGAATCTGCTGCCCTCATCGGTGTTCAGACTCAGACGGCTGAAGCTGTTTGTGACCCTGAAAGTCAGCTTTGTGTTTACGGCACGAAGAGGAAGATGGGTTCTGATGAGCAGTACCTCTGACATGAAGGCAGCGTGAGAGCATGGAGCCGCAAGGAGAATGAAAAGATCCAAATCCAGCCTTTAAATAAACAGTTTGACATTTAATGAGATGTGAGCTGTATGATGAATAGGAAGTTACAGCCAGCTAGCACTTAGCTTAGCATAAATGCTAGAAACAGGAGCTTCATTAGCACCAGCACCTCTAATTGTTTCTTTAACTTCCATCTATTTTCAGGACAGTTTCTGCTCCCAGCCCAGACACAGCCAGTCTGTATGTATAGTTAGTGAGCGTTAGCGGTGCTGCTCGGTCCTGTGTTGTTCGCTCTGGACGGAGCCAGGCTGCTCGCTTTAGTCTTTCTGCTGAACTAGTCCCAGCGGCTGTAACTAGATGAAGGTCAGTCTTTAAGAAAACATGTGGACGTGTTGAAATCCAAGAAGCTGTCGATGCAGCGAGAGCAGGGCTCGGACGATGAGCGCCGTGGTGCTGGTTTGGTTTCCTTCCTGCCTTCCATTGTCCTCTGGTGTCTGCCTTTAGCTCTTCACAGCCACGCCGGTGCTGAAGATTCACGGGATTACTAACATAGGGCATTCCTTTTAATTTCTTTTATTACGTTGTAGAATGGTTATGAGAAGCAGCTTCTAGCAGATATATGTGATTGCCAAAATGTTGATTGCAACACGCTTCCAGAAGTGGAAGAGAAGAGGTGAAGCCCCTGTTTGGTTGTGTTGTGTTGTGCTTAACGCAGGGTTTCTTCTGTGGCTCTACAAAACCTGGATCACCCACAGCAGTGATCACCTCCGGGTCTTGAACATGTTGTACAGAGGTTCTGGAGACGTACAGAATAAAGTGTTGTTCAGTCCTGATACAAACGGCTCGTCGTCTTTCTTCTTCCTCACATCCTGTGGTGTCAGCAGTAAATCCAGACAGATGATCTGCTGGCTGCTCATCAGCTTATTTAGGGGGACTCTGACATCCTGTTAACCTCCAGCTCAGAGGGCACGTTGTCTGAAAACAAACACAACAAGTGAACCCGATCTAAGCTCAGAATCTGGACATTTATGCTTTAATTTAGTTCACATCACTCAGTCCTACTTCTGAACCCTTTGACTGGATTCTGTATAAAAAACAAAGAGATGGAATCACCTGCTCAGGAGAACAACTCCACCGTTCAGCAGCACGCTGACACGTCTGTGATGGCGTGAATAAAGTCTGTAGGGCTGAAAGTGTAAGGAGTCAACTATCTACCAGGGGGCGGAGCCTATCCCAGCTGACTCAGGGTGAAGGCAGGTTCACCTGGACAGGTAACCAGTCTATCACAGGGCTACACTTAGAGACAGACAACCAA